ATATATATATATATGTCATACATATATACTTATATATATAATTGTTTCAATTTGATCCTTGCATGTTATTTAATTTATTTAAATTATAGTCTATAATTTCATATTTATTCAATTTAGTCCTTACAATTATATCATAATATCCAAAACCTTATAAAATTGTGTTCCCAAGTTTTGAAATGAATGCAATTCAGTCCATTTTTATATTAATTTTAGCTTCATATTTTACAATTATTTCGATTTGATCCCTCTGTGTTGTTTAATTTATTTTAATTGTAATTTGTAATTTCATATTTGTTCAATTTAGTCCTTCAAGGTATATTTGTATATGAAATTGGCCCATACTTATTTATATTTTTTAATTTACTTCAAATCCTATAAATTACATAATAAATTTCATTTCAAATTCTATAAATTAAATCATAATCTCCAAACCCTATAAACTTTTTTCACAAACTTTTTAAATGGATGCAATTTAGTATATTTTATATTAATTTCAACTTCACATTTATAATTATTTCGATTTGATCCCTCATTCATGCGTGTTTTTTAATTTATTTAAATTTTTGTTTCTAATTTCATGTTTATTCAATTTAGTCCTTAAAATTATATTTTTATCAAAATTGACCCATAATTATTTATATTTTTATGTAATTTACTCTATATCATATACAATTACAAATTACAATTTGACGTTCATGAAAGGTGAAAAATAATTAACCAAAAACTGACCCGACCTGAAGTCAATTTGTATCTGGTACATAAATTTTGTCTGTCAATGATGTGACTCTATCTGAACGAGATTCAACTGAAGTCCATCCAAACTTTAATTAACCTAGTATTTAATAAATACTTCAGACTTGAATCGTTTTGACCTAAACTGATATCGATCTTAACTGAAATTAACTCGACTTGAACCAAATTGAATCTGATGTCAAATCAACCTGAAAATGACCTGAAAAAATTTAACTCAGACCCGACCAGATTCGACTCATTAAATTGACCTGACACAACATGTATTAGATTTGACCTGACCTGATAAGATCGACTGAAACCAGAACGATTACTTCATTTCGATTCCCTAGTCTTAATCACCTCATTTATTGTAGAAAAGAAATACTAGTTAACTATTTTCTCAACTTTGAAGATTGTTGCTGTGTTTTTATATTATATACCATAAACCCATTTGTCTTCTACCATTTGACAGGTTTATGGTAGGGACAGATTGATCACAATTTCAATATACAAATCTCATGCCATAGAAATAAAAAGCCAAAATAGAAACAAAACCAACCAAATATGAATCCGAATTTAACTTCATTGATTCGTATACAGAAAGTAAGAGGGAAACTGATTCATGTGGTGAAACAACAGAGCAAGTTGTCACTCACCTGTATACAGATGTGTTCCTCAGTTACTGTCGGGCTTTGGAACCAATGTCCTGCCCATTATTACGCTGTAAAGGAGCATGTTGAAGCATTAAGTTTGTCCACAAAATTTCATGATAACAACTTTTTGAACGATGACATATTATACCATTTTTTGGTCATAATCATGAACACCATCTAACCTGAAACAAAGACCTACTTAAGCAGTCCCATGAATGCTGAAGTTTTTTAATGTCCAAAGAAAATCGACGGAGAACAGAAGATGGAAACTTTTTGCGGATGGGAATATTTCCTACGTGGAAACTTCAACCTTGAGCCCCAAAGAACACAAAGCCATCTCATGATCCTCAAACCCACACCACACAGTATTTCCTTAATCTATCTTCTCATATTCATCTCATTTCAATCCTTTAATAACTAAAATGCCACTTGTTTTAAACTTTGTACACCTTACACATCATACCCGCTAGTTCTCTTTGGAGGCCTAGTTCTGGGAATCCACCTACTGAGTTGGATAAACACTGTGTTTATTATTACTATCTCTGTTTTTATAAGCATGGATTCTTAAATTGCTTCTCAGAGCCAATAACTTGTTCTTATTCCTAGGATTTTCTCTCAGGAGATTCCCAGTGATGTTACCGTTCATGTTGGGGGAGCATGTTTTTCACTTCATAAGGTAGAATTCAAGCACTTCAATTACTCTACAAATAGCATCGGCGCGTATATCTTTATTGTTTCAGCCTTTTTTGTTTGTATTTCCTGCTTCAATTGCAGTTTCCATTAGTATCCAAGTGTGGGTACGTAAGGAAAGTGGTATCAGAATCTAACGATGCTGATCTTTCTGTCATAGAAATTCCTGATGTACCGGGCTGAGCAGAATCATTTGAATTTGCTGCTAAATTCTGCTATGGAATAAATTTTGAGATAAGCACCAAAAACATCGCCGTGCTACGATGGGTGGCCGAGTATCTTGAGATGACAGAGGACTATGCGGTTGGAAATCTTGTAGGACGAACTGAAGCCTACTTGAATGAAATGGCACTTAAGAGCCTAGCAGGAGCAGTTTCTGTGTTACATGCCCCTGAAAACCTCCTCCCATTGCAAAGGAAGTTAAATTGGTTTGCCGGTTGTTGATGCCATAGCATGTTTAGCTTGCAAAGAAAGTGGAAATGATATTGCAGTGTCTTCAACAATCTCTAACTCGAAAACTATCTCTGGCTGAGGATTTAGCTGTTCTTTGAATCGACTTATTCGAGCGGGTGTTGATTGCAATGATAGCAAAAGGGTTTAAACAACATGTTCTTGTTCCTATGCTTATGCTTTATGCTCAGAAAGCTCTTAGAGGTTTGGTGAGACCCCATATCAACATGACTGACATGTTTACCCGATGTGGTTAATGCCTAAAGTTGAGGCTTCTTCTTTCATGGAGGAAATATTCGGAAAGGGGATGAAGAGAATCAAACCACGAGAAGAACACGAGAAGAGGGTTGTCTTGGAAACCATAGTGAGCCTTCTGCCAAGGGAGAAAAATGCAATGTCAGTAAACTTTCTATCGGTGCTGCTTCGAGCAGCAATATATCTTGAAACATCTGCTGTTTGTCGACTCGATTTAGAGAAAAAGGATGACCTTCCAATTAGGACAGGCTCTCTAGGATGATCTCTTGATTCCTGCTTATTCCTTTACTGGGGATACATTGTTTGCTGTGGAAACAGTACAGAGAATCATGATGAATTACCTTGAATATGGAACTCATGGTTGTCATTTTGGGTACAAAGAAGAAGAAGAAGACTGCATTCTCTTCTAGCAAGTAACATGGAAAGGGTGCGGAAGCTAATGGAGAGTTACCTAGCCGAAATAGTATCCGATCGTAGTCTACCTGTCTCAAAATTCATCGGTCTCGCTGAACTCATTCCCGAACAATCGAGGATAACAGAGGATGAGATATATAGAGCCATATATATCTACCTCAAGGTAACAGTCTCTCTTATATAATTACCCTCGTCCTAAGAATCTTCTACGACTTTTTACTCATTCAATAATTATGATTATTCAGCATGATTATATAAATTCTAAGATTATACAAGTACAAATCAAGTTTCAACACATTGTAGTAAAGGTGATTTTGAAGCGCTTTGTTAAAGGAGTGTTGGAACTATCAACAGAACCATTTTAGCTTTCATTGCTTTTCTTGATCATTATTTGAATGAATAGTATCTTAGTGGATTACTGACATGGAGAGGAAGAAAGTTTGCAGCATAATGGATTGCCAGAAACTCTCTCGGGAGGCCTGCGCTCACGCCGCAGAAAATGACCGTCTTCCTGTCCAGACAGTGTTTCAAGTCTTTACTACGAACAACAACGCCTTCGGGATGTCATGAATGGAAGCATTTCAAGTGGAAATTCACCTTCCATTTCTTCCAGCGTGATTTTATACCCTACAGCAGATATCCACCCCTCGGTGTTAGACGAACTTTCCAGCTTGAAAAGAGAGAACCAGGACTTGAAACTAGAGCTAGCAAAAATGAAAATGAGATTGAAAGAAATAGAAAGATCATTTGTTACAACAGCAGTAAGCAGTCCAAAGGGAAATGTTCTGCCAACATCTGATAAGCCACCTTTTCCTAGGAAATCATTCATGAATTAAATTTCTAAGAAACTTGGACAGCTAAATCCTTTCCCGCCTTCCAGTGCCAGACGTCGTACTAGACCAAGCAAAGACAGGAGGCATACCATTTCTTGACACATTAATTTGTTTGCCACTCATTATAATTACTTTTCTAAAGAGTTCAATGTCTGTGTTTTGCTCTCATATCTCTTTTGTTGTTGGCACCATCCATTGCTCTTGGACCTGTTGTATATCTGCATCTTTTGTGTGGTGTTGATGTAAATACTACCATATTTATGTTTGAGAAGCACATTATTCAAAGCATGTTGGTAATGACATGAATATCAGCATCCAAAATCATTTTGGTTTTAAAAAAATACAGGACAATATATCCAAAGTATATTTCTAGACAACCCTCATGCTATTCCTAAGGAAACAACAAGAAAACAAGACATGGGGAAATGTAAAATTCTACTTATAATCAAAACTTAGGTTTAAAATTGACAGTATCTTGTATCTAACAAGTCTGTTGGATATATATATATATATATATATATATATATAAGAAATAGCTAAAACAGAATGTGGGGTCTTTATATTAATTATTGACACCTTTTGGATAAATGACCTTTGGAAAAGCCATTGTAGCTTAAGGGACAAGCAACCAAGTTGTACCATGCTTTGTCTGAGGCAAAAGAATCAATGATTTCTAAAGACGGTTCCAAAATATCAAAGTTTCCATGGTCCCATACTTTTAAACCAAAATTGCATTCTCTTTAAGGTTAAAATGATGACTTCAATTTGCCTGAGTTGAACTTGAACCTGACTGATTTGAAAACTGAGCTCAGAGAATTAGAGGGTCTTTGCTAGTGAGGGAAACAAGTGATCTTGATATAATACTCCAATTGCTAAAACAAACTTAGCAGAAACTCCCACACAAAACATCAATCACAGGAAATTAGTCGATAGGAAACAGTATAAATTGGAAAAGAGTTTCATTTTCATTTTTTCAAGTCATATTCATACTTAGAACTTGAAAAAGCCAAGGAGGCTGTTTCAATCTCTTTTGTCTCAATTGTTCTTCAAGCTCATTGTTGTTTATACTTCCATTTTGACACCTCAATGTCATCTGACTGAATTCAGAGGAAGAAGAAGAAAAGCTTGGACTGGGATCGGAAGTTAGCAGAGTCCCATGTTTCTTCCTCCCTGTGTACTTTGTGAGACCTAAAGTCAGCTCAATCTCGCTCTCATCTATGGCTTCTAAACGACCACGGTTATATTCTGCAACATTGTATCCCTGATGATGATCAGCCTCAGCTGCAGGATATTCCAAGTCAAGTCTCGTTCTTGAACTGTGATGCATATCGGTATTCCCGTGGTGATAATTCTTCTTCTTGATAAAGCTTCCATTAGGTCTGCTGCTTTCAATGCTTTTCATCAGTGCCTTCTGGATTTGATATAGACGATGCAGCTCATAGACCTGAATTCGAAAACGTTGCTTCAAGCTTAGAGCAACAAATACAGTTGAAAAAAACAATAATACGCACACACACATAAATATATATATACACCTGCTGTTTGAATGTTTCTTCATGTTTTAACATTGCCATCCTCATATACTCCTTGTCATGCTGCCGAAAAAGGTTCTCCATTGCGAGTTTGATGTTGCTTGAGCAATAACCCCAAGAAAAGAAAATCCAGGATAAATAGAAATGATCCCTCTCTTCCCAAGAAATTTGCAGAAAAAGGTAGATCACATAACAACTGTGATAATCAAAATCATCTTTCACTATTCCTACCTGCAAAAGTGAGCAAAATTGCCCCAAAGTAGAAAAGAAGAAAAGAAAGCTGAGAGGTGGAAAGAGGGGGATAAAAGGCGTGGATTAATGTTTTCACAACACTAATATGAGAGTATGATAAACATCTTCATTTTAGTACATAGTTTGTCTGCTTGTTCTCATGATTTTTGGGCCACCATTCGTAATCTTCCATACAAAGTATCTTTCATGATGCAGCTTTGTCTATGAGTACAATATATATCACATCTGGCTTCAATGCCGTTCTTAGTTTGCTCTTATTTCGTCTTTTTCTTTGGTAAATATTCTAAATTTTCAGGCGTAAATGATTAATCTTTTTATGACCACACATTTACACTTATCTTCAAATTGCTTCTTTAAACCATTTAAGTTGTGCAGATAGGAAAGCTGTTGGTAATTATGTCTACTAGTAGAATCATAATCACCTTATTAAAGGGTAATTATTAAATGAATAGTAACCATGTTAACAAGAAAATCAAATCTAAACACACTCCAACATCCTAGTTCTTTGCTATCAAAACTCAAACATAATATTTTATGGTTTTTTTGGCTCTTATTCTCTTGTTCTTGCAACGAATTCATGCATCAGAAAAGAAAAAAAAGGGGTGTAAAGAGAAATGTAGAGCATATTCTGACCTGTTACAGATTCTTGTAAGAGCTACGAAACTGTGAAGGACCACAGAAGCTTTTCAGTTGCTAAACCAGTTGAAGAAAAAGAAGGCAAAAGAAAAAGTGAAAAATGGGGATAAAAAAACTCTCTTGAAACCTTAAGCTGAGACAAACCTAGGTTTTGACTGAGAAAGAAGATGGCCTGGCTCTCACAATATTCCCCGTCAGTATATACTGCAAACAAGTTCCATAAACTATATATATATTTTTTATTTTATAAAAATGAAGGAGAATAATTTAAGATTCTGTGGTGATATTTTGGGTTTCAGGCATGCCAAACAAATCACAGTGATATTAGCCAATGCAATTCAAGTTTTGTGAAAGATGCCTAAAGACAGGTCCAGCAATGCAGTACATATAAAATAATAACACTCAAAACATGTTATTAGGATATTAGGATTTTGGAGACAAATCATAAATTAGATCAGCTTCGTTTGCCGTGGTGATTCAACCCAAGAATTCTATATCCCTTGTAACAGTTCGCTTAGCACCGATTAATCTGGATCAATTCAGATTACACACTTAATTTTGGTGAATGAGTCTCACAACAGAAATTTTCTACATATACAAAGACTCAAATTTAAGGACCTGGTTAAGCAATATCAAGTGTCTTACCACTTAAATCAACCCCCGTTGGTAATCTCTCTAAGATATTAATCATCGATCAACCCTACGTTTATTATATGGATAAATTATACATTTCCTCATTAAACTTTATTCTATCTTCTATTTCACTTATTGAATTTTTAATTTTTTTCAATTTACTCACTAAACTTTATATATTTAATTTTTTTGTCACTCAACCGTTAACTTTTTAACAGCATTATGACATGACAATCAATTAGATTCATATACAAAATCAAATTTTATTCAAAATAATATTGTTTCGATTAAAGTTTTAAAAACTTATTCTTTTTCTATTTTTTATTTTTTTTTCTTTTCTCTCTCTAAATCAATCTAGAATTTGACTCTCACATTAGTTGTCATTCTGACCATCGTCGGTCACCGTTATCGAAGACTGATGAGTCAAAGACTTGCATCTTCCTCTCTCCTCTCCAAGACCTCCGTCTTCCTCTCTCCCTCCCCAAAACCCTCACAATCTCCCCTTGAAACTCTGACAGTATCTCGTTCTCCTCCCAAATTTTTATTTTCGAAGAAGTGGTACAGCCTTTTGATTTGGCACAGGATGTGACAACATGACATTCTCCTTTTTATCATTTTTGGAATAAGAAGGATAGCCTTCATTATGGTTCCACTGAAAAGATTTTCCTTCCTTTTGTTTGTAGGATTTAGTAATTTTAATTTTATCTAATTTTCTATTTTAAAATCCTATTTGACATTAAATATCAATATTTTCATTATTTAATATTAATCTTTCGTGACATGTATAATATTAAATTATTCCACATCATTTCCCGGCTAGAGAGAAAACGATTGATTAATAAAAAAATTCAATTAATAAAGTTCAATGAATAAATTGAAAAAATTAAAAGTTCAATGAACAAAATAGGAGAGAGTAAAATTTAATGAGGAACGGTATAATTTACTCTTATAATATATAAACTAAAGGGTACTCTACACCATTCATCATTCAATTATCTTCTCACATCTATTTTGTTCACTGAAGTTTAAAAATTGTCAATTTACTCACTCAATTTTCAACTTGCTCATGTTTTGGTTAGTTTGCCGTTAAATAATTAACGATGTTATGACATGATAACCAACACTAAAATAAAGTAATTTTGGATTTATACAAAAAATTAAATATAGACCAAAACAACATCATTTTGATCTAAATAAAAGACCATCTTTCCTTCTACTTCATTTCCTCTCTTTCCTTCTTTATTCTTCTTCTTCTTCTTTCTCCCATTTCTCTCCATTTTCTCTCAATCTAAATAAACTCATATTCCCGCTATCATGTCGGTTGTTGTTCTGACCATCGTTGGTCACTGTCGTCAGAGTTCAATGACTTCCAAAATTTCACAATGAACGTGTCTCACCATTCTAAACGTGAACTTAATGTTCATTTAACCGAAAAAGAACCCAAAACTCAATTGATCCAAAATTGAGTTGAATTATGACAATTGAGATATTCAAAACAACAGTAGTTTGAGGCTCAGGTTGAATGATGGTTGTGTGGAGATGGTTACTGAATCTTTTCTAACTGGGTGGAGATTAGAATTAATATAAAAATAATATTAATAAAATTTTTATCTGTATTAATATAATATTTCAAAATTTAATAAGAAAATATCATACAACCATAGTGTTAGAAAGAAAAACGGTAGAGTAATCGAACAAATTTATTGTTTAAAGTTGAGTATGTAAATTAATTTTTTTTTTATATTTTAGTGACCAAATATGGATAAGAAGATGTTATACCTTAACTCAAAATATTAATAAATAACAATCATTTATTTAATTATCAAGGTCATTTGATTCATGTTAAATTATTATAATTAGTTATTTGAATGAAGACTTATAATTAAATTTCATCGGTTTAGTACTAAAATTTACTTTTAACTCCTAAAAGTAAAAAGAGTGACCGCGGCCATAGCCACCGGATCTGAAGATCATGATTCTTAAACTAACTATATACAAGTATAGATTTATATGGTATCAGATGTAGATATCACAATTCCCCATACAAACAGATAAAATAAGGGAAGGAAAGGTAAAACGCAAATCTCGAATACAATTAATCGGTTTTGTTAATAGAATAAAAAAATTGGCGAGGAATTGCAAGATGCTGATGGATCATTTGGATCTGAGTTGTTGGATTTGATTTTCAACCCCCCCCCCCCACCACACACAATGATTGTATCCGTTAATTGGCCAGGTGAGGTGGATTGTTGGGAAATCAATCATATATCGGACGGTCCAGATAAACTGGATGAAATATTGTACACATTAAATGTACATATATCATTTTTTTAATTCATATGCAGCAGGTTCCAGGATGTATCGATTCATACTATACTCTCCTCGTTCTTTTATTTGTAATTTGCTTAAACATATATTATTTGATATTTGCTATGTTATAACTGTAAATAGTACATTATATATTATAAATCATATTAACAATTAAACTCTAGCCGTTTTCCTTTTTTTAATTTCTTCTTTAGAATGTGTTGTGTTTTATAGATAAAATTTTTTCTTTGATTTTATTTAATCATTGATGATATTGATTTTGATGTTGGTTGCCGTCTATCAATTCTATTTTTTTTTGTTTCTCTTTTAGTTTTTTAATAAGAATAATTATATCTTTGTGGTACTTTTTCTCAGTTTTTGTTGCACATTTTCGTTTTCTTTCTTGATCATTTAGCCGCTCTTTTATTTATGTTTTCTCAAGGTGAGATTTGACGACGCCACCAGGGATAGACCGAGGAAGACGGTGGAGGCAGTCACCACCCTGAAAATTTAAAATGACCATATATTTTAGATTTTTTTTATGTATTTTCTATTGAAAATCTATTTTGTCCCTAAAATTTTATAGGTTCAAATTCACCTCTTGGAATTTTAAAAGTTAAAGTTTGCCCCCTTAAATTTTAAAAGGTCAAGTTCGTATCCTAACATAAACCCTGCGTTCATCCAAAACTGATCAAGATGGTGCTTACTTGTAATCGTAGTGATCTTCCCTACTATGAACCCTTTGAATTCGGATGCGTGATTTTACGTTCGTAGATAGTTCATGACTCTCGACTTTGATTTTGCAGTTCTTGGTAGTCTTTCAATAGCTTAATCTGTTTTTATGGTTCGTTTACCAATGCAATTAAATTTGTTCTTATCTCTTTTTTGTTCAAGTTTTTTGGTTGGGTTTTTAACATTTTTATGTATTGTCCTTATATGATCTAAAGTGACTAGTTTCAATGTTATAGGAAAATGTCCAAATTATGTATTTATTTTACGATGATAATAGTAAACCCTTATTTTAATTTTGAATATTTTTACTTTTCAATAAGACCTCGTTTGGTGTGACTTTATAAAAGCACTTTTAGTTAAAAAGCATGTTTTGATCGCAAAAGCAATATCAAACGGGTAAAAAAATGGTGCAAATGGTGGTTTCAAACCAACCGAAAGATCTGTTTGGTTTTAAAATTTTTTTTTCTAGAAAATAGTTTTCATTTTCAATTTTTAAAAAATTAGAAAACATGTTTGGTTAATATAAACGAAACTTGAATTCAAATCTAAAATAGTAAAAGTTCTTGTGGTATCTAATTTTTTAAAATATAAATAAACAAATAGTTATTAATTAATTAAATTAAACTATAATTATTAAAAAACACAAATTTAACATGTGAGTTATGTAAATATAAAACAATAAAATTAATAAGAAATTCAATAACACAAAATGTATTTTAGTTTATAATAAGAATATATGTTA